CACACACACATGTACACACACACACACACAGTACACACCCACCTGACACACACATTATACACACACACCACATACACACATGCACACACACACACACACACACACACACACACAAAACACACACACACACACACACCCACACAACACGCAAATGACACACACACACATACACCAACATACACATACACACACACCACATTACACAGCACACACACGCATCATAGATATAGGACTCATATTTACACATATATCTGTATATCTATATACATAGGTGTTGTATTGTGCTGTACACACCTTGGGTAACTAGCGCGTTCATAGAAAAAGTGGATTGCCACAAACGGCCTGTCGTAGGGCAGAGCACCAAAAGGATATAGTAATATACATATGTAGATATATATATATAATATATATATATATAATATAATAATATATATATATATAGATGTAGAGATATATATATGTACTATAGATAGGTTTAGATATAGGATATTCTGTATATATATATGAATATATATGTATATATATGTATAGATCTATATTGGATATATATATGTATAGAGATATTGGATAGATAGATGTATATGAGATATATAGATATATATATATATTAGTATATATATATATATAATGATGAATATATATTATATATCTGAGAAGGATATAATAATTATGGAGATAGATGTATCGATATATAAGATATAGAGATATATAGATATATAGATATATTATATATTATATATATATATTATACAAACAAATATAATAGATATCCTCCATTTATGTATATTATATATTTTTTATCTTGATTTTTAAAGAACATATTACAGCTAAAATACAAGTAAATACATACATAAATACATACAACGATGAAACTACTCGCATATTCAGAACAAATACATTTCTCATCCGAGGGAGCGCTGCAGCCGCCGGGCGCCAGCCTCATCCTCATCCGCCTCCTCTTCCTCGCGCCTCTCCTCCTCCTCTTCCTCTGCAGCCTCCTCCTCCTCCTCCTCATTCTCATCACTCTTCCTCTCTGCAGCCTACTCCTCCTCCTCATCGTCGTCGGATTACTGGGCCTTCTCATCCTTACTCTCATGTCATCGGCCTCTGCTTTGCGTTTCCCGTTCTTCCGTAGGTTTCGCCGCCCAATGAACTCAACGTCCAAACGTGTTGTCCGGGTGGCAAATTGCATCTGGTTCCGAAAAAGAATCTACTCAATAAAGGACCTGCACACCCAGGGGTATTTTAGGAGTATACTGTGTACCTGCCACTGAAGCGGTCTTCTGACATGCCATTAATGCTCACGTTTCGGCCACATAGCAAGCTACTCTGGTCCCCAGTACCTGGACCTTAAAATCATAATCACATAGGTACAACGTTGATTGAGTGCTTCGCGTAACAAACTTCATGGCCCTATAGACTTAGAGTGCATCCTGTTGTCGACGTTCTAGTTCTATGTCGTTGGCCTTCAACGTCAATGTTGTCATTGTATATTCTAGAGGGAGATCTGGGACTACTCCCGGAAGGGCGGTTTTAAAATGGCAACAGATATTATGGGCACAATGCGTTTGAGGACTAGGACGCTGAGACCCAGCAGGTTGTACTCGATGTCTTCACACGACGAACTGGTCTTATAGCCGCCGTGATCAGCATTACACCCACAGCACGCACGTATCGTCAGGCCAGTTCTTCCCACGGTTATAGCGCGTCCGTCCAGGCCCACTCCTCCCCTGTTTTGGCCGTAAACTATGATTTATGTCGACCCGGTATCCACAAACAAAAGGTAGTGAATGGTCATTCCCGTGCACTCCAGGTCCACGAAAGGCCAACACGTCTAGGATACCGCATCTTATCTGATCCACGTCGTTGCGCCAGCGTCCGCTCCGTTTAGACGACCGCAGTTGGCGCCTCACTCCGTTGCAAAGAAGAGAGGAATGTGATTCAGGCGCAGGAGAGGGGGTATATTATTTTTTGGTAAAGAAGTTACCGTAATAATGTCCGTGCGTGTGGAAATGTATGTGTGAGTGTCGTGGATAAGTATGTGTGTTTGTGTATGTCTGTGAATATGTATGGTGAGTGTGTGTGAATGTATGTGCTGAGTGCTGGTGTGACGTGCATTTGTGTATAGATGGAAGTGTGTGTGGAGTGCGTGCATGTGTATGTATTGTGTGGTGTGGGGGGGCGTGCTAGTGTATAGGTAGTGAGTGGGCGTGCATGCGTCGATGCATGTGGGATTGTGTATGTGGCCATGTGGATAATGTTGAGGGTGGTGCGTGCAGTGTATATGTATGTGTGTGAGCGGTGTGCAGTGTAGATTATGTGTGAATGTGTGTCTGTGCGTGAATGTGTATGTGTAGTGTGAATGTGTGTGTGTGCGTGCATGCGCTATATGTAGTGTGTGTGCGTGTGAAAGTGTAATGGATGTGGAATGGGTGTGTGTGCGTATGTATAATGCTATGTGTGAGGGTTTGTGCGTGCATGTGTATAGTGTGTGCTTACG